TAACAAAATATCTTAACCACCCACATTCTGTACAATATCCGAACTCATTTGAGAGAACCCTCGGTTTGGCTCAACCGGAAAGCATCCAAAATAATAATAAACATGAAAAGCATCATTCTCCAGCATATTTAACAAAACAAAAATTTAAATGATAGTTGGCATAGTCAGGGTCCTGTTGAGTTGCATAGGTTGTTTGATATGGAAATGAGAAAATAGTTTTGATTTCACTTTGGAGTTAGCAAGTTAAAAGAGGTGGCTGTAACAGTTAGAAAATTTGGAATTTTAGTATTTTCTCTTTGGCTGTGTTAATATTACATAATAAAAGTTCAAGTATGAAAACCTTACTGCAGTTGTTTATCTCTTATTTGCAAATAGACCCCCTCCACAATTTTATTTGTAGCTACCCAAGGAAATAAAACCACTTTGAATGTAGAGTATAACTGTATAATCTCCGAGTTGATTGATTTCAATGTTAATAATTGTCCTTTTGGTCCATACCAGAAATCCCTTCCCTCTTTATGAGCTATATTTCCAGGGGCGCCCGCAGAAAAATATGTAGGGGGGATCAAAATCAATTGAATAAATTTTTTATGCGTAAAAAAGGCCACTTCAGTCTAAATTATCATTTTAGAAGCAGAATCAGAATTTTAAATGCAACATTTGCGAAGCAAAATTAAAAAAAAAAGCAGTTTGAAGAGACACAAACTAACACACTTGGACGAGAAGAATTTTAAATGCAACATATGCAATGCAAAATTTGAAAAAAAAATTAAATTAGGAAAATTTAAACAAAAAGGTAATTTAAAAAGTCACACATCAACAGACTTCGATAGTTATCTTTTTGAATGTGACATTTGCAAAGTAAAATTCAAAGGAAAAGACTGTTTAAAGAGACACAAACTAACACAGTCTGATATTTATCCTTTTAAATGTGACACATGCAATGCAAAATTTGAACACAAACGTAGTTTGAGAAGCCACATATTAACACAATCGGATGAGGAGAATTTCAAATGTATCATTTGCAATGCAAAATTGAAAAGAGAAGGCGATTTGAAGGAACACATATTGATACACTTGAATATTTAATTTTTTTGAATGGGACATTTGCAAATTAAAATTTAAACGGAAACGCGATTTGAAAATACACAAACTAACACATTCGGGTATTTATCCATTTGAATATGACACTTGCAAGGCAAAATTTGAAGAAAAGTAATTTACAAAGGCACATTTCAACAAACTCGGATATTTATCCTTTTGAATGTGACACTTGCAAATCAAAATTTAAATGGAAAGCCGATTTGAAAATTCACAAACTAACACATTCGAATATTTATCCATTTGAATGTGACACTTGCAATGCAAAATTTAAGCAAAAACATAATTTGAAAAGCCACATGTTAACACACAGATTGTTTATTATTTGATAATTGATTCACTTAATAGTGACATGTGTTTAGCTCCGGGATCCAGTGGCGGACCTAGGATCTTTGGGGCCCGACGCAAAAAAAAAAATTGGGGCCATGTCATACTTTTTTGGGTAAGTATTTTTCTTCTGGTGATGGGGTATGAGGCGAGTGTGCGAAAGTTATTTATATTTTTGAAGTTTTTAACAGCCAAATATGAAAACAGATTTAATTAAAAAACAAGTTTATTAAGAACATATGAGATAATATGAAAACACGACACCTACTTCACTAGTAGGTACTCACACCAGGCACCAAAGCCAACAAAAATTAAAAAGCACCGTACTGTACTGTCCGTACTCCACCAACAAGAACAAGTGCCATAAGTTATCTCTGGAGTCTGGTTGGAAGACAATAGCTGGATAAACCGCCTAAAGTCTATTCGCAGAAATAACCAATAAGGAGAGCCGGAATGAGTTCTAGTATAGAATAGTGAGAGCTCGAGACACCGTTGCAAAATGTATCGTAAAGAATGCTAGTCTTTGTATGTTGGTTTTTTGATTAAAAAGAGCTTATCCAAACTAACCCGTCCTCGTAATGAATGCTAGTCTCTGTATGTTGGTATTTTAGACGAGAAGAGCTAATCCAAGCTTACCCTAACTAGCCCGTCCGCCTCAAATAATCTTTGAAAAAATTGAAAATTTTAAAACAAATATATTGCCTCCAACGCAAATCGAATCTGGGTCAATTTGCTCCAAAAACCGTGCGTAACCCAACTGGACCCTACCTTAGATTATGTCCCTACCACCAAGCCTGTGGAAGTAATCTCAGAGATCGAAGTGATAACGTGCGCAACTAGTGTTTCACAAGACAAGATTTCTTGCCTTATTGGGCCTATGTCTTGTTGTCGGTTTTCTACCACACACTTCGCTTATGGAACGACGTGTTTCATCGTGGCGATGAAAGCCATTGTGTATCATCATAGGCCGCGTTCACCAGATACAAACGTTGTAGACCGTCAGATAGTGACATATTTAGGTGCCCCATTTTTGCATACAAGCCTCGAAGGGGGTTGAATAGTAAATCGATTTTGAGTAGGATGAATGTATTTTTACGAATGGCTCCTGGGGATAACATATGGAAAATTCAATTTTACTTATGTTACCCTTAAACGTACTTTTCCATTAGCGACACTCAAGAAAATATGTTTTCCTGCTATCGAAGTTGTAGATTTTCATCTTTCCGATGGGCTTCTGTTGAAAAATCGCCCAAAATCTCGATTTTTCCTTACAAAGTTACGCCCTTATTTCAAACCTTTAGCCACCTGCAACACCCCCTTATTTGTTTTCATGAAGCCAGGTATTATTAATTAATCCTTTGGTGAACGCGGCTTGCGAGAAAATATAGGCACTAGGACGTCTTTCATTTCTGTCACGGAAAATCGAATTTTCCATACGTTATCCCCAGGATCCATTCGTAAAAATACCTTCATCCTACTCAAAATCGATGTACTTTTCAACCCTCTTCGAGGCTTGAATGCGAAAATGGGACACCTAAATATGTCACTATCTGACGGTCTATTGGTAAACGGTTTCCGATTGTTCTGCTGAACGCTACGTTGAATTTGTGTTAAAACCAAACATGTTTTGCAAACGGTCGCCATTTTTGCAAGCATAATTTCAGCGTGTTTATAATTTTCAACACTGTGTTTTTTGTGGTGAACTGTCATTCAGAAGGTGACGTTCTATCATTGAAAAGTTGAATCGTTCAGCAGAACCAAGAGTTAACCCAACATATTCTGTTGGTATTTGGTTTTACGGTTTAGAATCCGTTTTGGTTCTGGTGTACGTAGCCTCTGTGGAGCCCTTAAGATTATGATCGGTGATCTCCGGATTGGTGTCATTGTCATTGATAACGTGGTTGTCATCTTTAGGTTTAAAGACTTTTTTTTCGAGGAAACAGTTTCAAAAACCGTATTAAAACGGTTTCAGCTCTAAAGCACTATTTTATGCACTACAATGATAATAGACCTTAAAAAAAATTCGACTTAATTGTTTGATGGTTGAAAATGAAAAGGACTTCACATTGAGCCTAAAATTCAATATTGTGTGTGCAGTGTCGTTGTCTATCATGACCAAAAATTTTCCTAGCCATACTTGCTGCAAGAACTGTTAGATACTGTCATCTGTTTGAGTGTTTTGAAACTACAATTTCAGAAAGTTTTGTCGCAAAAAAATGGCTTGAACTTTACAAACTGATATGCTGACATTTTTATCTCGTTAACTGCCGCAACGTTGCCAAAATTAATTCAAAAATATGCAGAGAAGGAGACTTCATTTTTTTGCAAGATTTCTTGCAAGATTGCAAGAGTCTTGCAGAATAATTTCTTGTCTTGCTTGGCAACTTCTTGTCTTGTCTTGCTTTGCAAGACACGAAATTTAAGAGAGTCTTGTCTTGTTCTTGCAGCAAGAACAAGACAAGAACAAGAAATTTGCAAGAATCTTGTGAAACACTATGCGCAACCGCCACATCTTACCTAACCTATACAACGTTGCCTTCTCCTTCTTAATTTTCGATTTTTTTTAATTTTTTCGAGTTTTTTTTTTAAATTTTTATCGATGCCTTTAGAATTCGGTTGTGTGGGGGCCCCTCAGCTCTGGGGGCCCGACGCAGAGTGCGTCGTTTGCTTCATGTTAGATCCGCCACTGCCGGGATCCTTGAACTCAGCCACAAAATTCACCAGTTCCGGAATAAGGAAAGGGTGACAATTTATCAATATGCAAATCGGTACACTGAGATATAGATATTAAATCAACTTATTTACTTCTTATAAATAGCTAAAATCTCAGGCATGGTAGAGGAAGATCCAAAACTTAGGCTTAAGCATTGAATATAAAAAAAAAAGATTCAGAAATCGGTAAATCGTTACATAATTGTTTCGGAATGATGTTTTTGGAGAATCAAGAAGTTAGCGATTTCTTTGTTTTCGAGTTGTTAGCTATTCAGCCGAATAACGAAGTTCTAGTTAAATTTTTAGATTATCTCATCGACACATGGCACATGCCTCAATAGACATGGATAAGAAAACAAATGCCTGTTAATCTTTCCATAGTCATTTTGGTAAATCTTTTTATTTTGCGCATCAAAATCCATATTTACACTTTTTTTGAATTTATTAACTCATATGCAATGCGAAATCTGTGAACATCATAAGGTAAGTTTTATGGGGAGTAGCTTGGGTTTCATGATTTGGTCGAATTCAAAGGTAGGATTACTGCAGCTACCTGATTTGTGGCCGAATTCAAGTATGCCCGTTTCGCTCATACGAGCATCATCGGACCTACAATATAATATATAGGTATAGAAAATAATTAAAATTTAAGAAATTTCCAGGGGGGGTCGAGTGAGCCCCCCTGATCCTCCCTGTGGGCGCCCTTGTATATTTCCTTCTCCTTTGTAGAATAGAGGATGACCTTTCATTAAAGTGGTCTTAAATTTCTCTCCCATTATTTATTATCCCAATCTAAATCACATAAATTTTGCATTTGACTTCGCTAATGGAAAGGGAAAAAAAACATCTTATAAAAATAAATATATTATATTCAGACCAAAATGTTTTGTAATATTTACAATAAACATTATAATGACTAATATCATTATTATATTCAATTGGGCGAAATATCTACAACAACATCTTCAAGCACACATGTAATGCACAACATTTAATCTATAACCTTTTGAATACAATTTTGAATTTTTCTTATTACAATTCAGTTTCTCATCACCAATGAAGTACAGGATGTCCATCTATAAAATATCACAACTTACTGAATTAGTTTAGGTTATTAGTTTACTACTGTTGCTTTTCCTATACAATCCGATAAATCGATGGTGGTGACAGAAGTTTACTGAAAAATTATTGCAAATTATAAATTTTTATAATTTAATATATTAGAAATGTGTTTTTTTTTAACAAAAATTTTGAGACTTGCTACCAACTTACACAAAAACAAGTGAATTAAATAATATAAAGTTAGTATATCACTAGTGAGGTAATGTTGGTGAATTACCATAACATTCTGGATTTTTAATTCACCTAGAATGCATAAAGTATATGCAAAATGGTTTATTAATACATAAAAAATAAAAATGAAACCTATAATGAAACTTAGATTTCCTTAAATAAATGATGTATAAAGTCTTACCATAGATAAAATTTATCATTTATTAGCAAACATCACTATCTAAAATTAAGTTATATCCTTCAGGAATATACAAACAACTAATTTATATGCTTCCATTCAATAAAATTTCTATACAATGCCTACTAGAATCTAGACCATTCAAGGTTTGCCTTAGAAAATTTACATTTATTGATAACTGATTCAATCACAATACACTGGCCAGCAAAATTAACGCACCACTACTATTTTTGAAAAATATTTTTTATTTCATAATTTTGATCAAATATTTTTATGTCTTGATTAAATATATTCTTATTCTGGCCTAATAAGGGTATTAACAAAAGATAAAATTCCAAAAGAAGGTAAGAAAAAAAAAAACAAGAAAATATGAAAAAAAAAAAATTCAAGTTTAGTTAAAAATAATTAATAACCGATATTTCCTTCTCTATTTTAAATAATAGCACGGCAGCAATTTTTCATGTTAAAATTACGGGCCTTATCTCGCTTTAATCCAAATTATTCCATATTTTGACAATATCTCCAGTAAGCCCATTCAAAGTGTGGAGGGTTAGGAAGCTCTTAATAATGGCGACAGATCATGTCCCAGCCATCCTCAATTGGGTAAAAATCAGAACTGTTTGCTAGCCAATCCATAGTTACAATTCCAACCTCATTAAAATAGAAATAAGTAAGTGGTGCGTTAATTTTGCTGACCAGTGTATTTAAAGTCTGAAGATCTTGCAGTAAAAAAAAAAACGCTTTAAAACGGGTTACTTAGTAAAAGTAAAACTTAAAAATAGGAAAATTTATTTTCAAATTAAAATTAGCACACTGCACGTACTTTCAGTTGCCAGAAATTAAAAATTAACTCAAAGAGTCCAGCAGAGTAGCAGTAGAGAAATGAAGCAGAATAATTCCAGTTTAAAAAGACCACCAAACTATACATATTGTAAATCGGGAGTAAATTCGATGCCTGAAAAGTAATCATCATCGTTCCCGAGAAAATTAATTTCGTCCTGTGATTCCAGAGAATCCAGCTCCGGTGCCAAAGGTCATTTAGCCGAAACGCCAGGTAATAAACCGTTAATGCCCAAAAATTTAGTAACCACGTCTTTGACGCCTGTGCATTCGTCTACTTCACGTTTAAATATGTGCTGGTACTTTCCTGGAGTGAGCAAATTGTCCTAGAATGAAATAAGCCCGATTGTATTTTTCCCAGAAAATTGTTAGTGTAACTTACCTCAATGAGAAATGTCTTCATGTGGACATAGGTACTTGGTTGAATTTGGAAATGCTCGCATAGCTGAAAAATAAAAATTCCATCTTTAATTGGAATTTGGTCAAACGGAAAATGTACATGGTATGCCACAAAAAGGGCAATATGTTATTTTTATGTGTTAGGTTGGTTAAATTAGGACAAAGTTGCGTAATTTTATGACCAATAAAATACCGTTCTGAAATTTGAAAAATTTCGAATACTTCCGAAAATATTCGAAAAAAACCTAAATTTTGCAAAATCATTTTTATTTTTTCTTAAGTCTATTTGAAGAGCTATTTTTAAAAAAATGTCACTTTATCATTGTCACTTTTTCCTCTTCACAAGATGTTGCTATCAAATTAAATTCCAGATTCGACGTTCCGTCTTTGGTCGGCCATCACCAACCAAGGATGATACACACGTTATAAGGATTGCTTATCAGCCTTCTTTTTGGTAATTTTTTGACATGGGGTTTTATCTTTAAAAAAAAACAGACTTTACGTCAAGGCGAGAAATAACATGCTGTCTACGTCACAGCTGGTAATTTGGTACGGGGGGGAAGGCGGAGTTTTGTTACACATAGGCCTTATGAGGATAGGCGAACCTGTAGTAAAAGTGTATCATCCTTGATAACCAACTGCATTCCATTTGGAAGAAATTAGCTATGGTTGTTTGGAATCTCTGGTTTTGTGTACAATATTGCGAACACCCTATAAATACTATCAGATTTTCATAAAACCATGAAACAAATGTAAGTATACACTAACAACCTGCAAATGATTTAGCTTGTAGGATCTCAAACGAATGAAATATGTTGATTTTTGATTGACACGTTCAAACTGCAATTTTTTGAAAAAAATTAAATATTTCAATAACAGTTGAGTTTAAGTATAGGTTATTCCTAACAAAAAGTATGTACGATTTTTATAACGATCCATTAGAGGAATAAAATATAGGGTGTTCCATTTAAAATAACAAAGTTCTGTCACATACCCCATTTATGGAGCACCCTGTATATACAAAAATATATTTGACTAATGCACCTTAAGCCGGTCCCAGACACTACGTGTATTCGGCGAATAGGCGAATATTCGTTATTCGCACGAATATTCGCCTAGTTTCCCATACGGCGTTGTGGTATGGCGAAGCTTTGGCTTGACAATTGTTCGGCGAAGTTTCCAAGCAGATGGCCGTCGATTTTCAGTAGCGTTTCATGTATGACGTTTATTTACTTCAAATGAACATTGATGAAGAGCAGATTGTTGCCGCCGCTACTTCTGTCATTTTCGGCAGATCTGAGCTGTTTTCTCGCGTTTACTTTTTTGAAACTGGTTCAAAATAGGTTTGAAATAGTATATCTCGCGATGAACCCATGATTTCACACAGAATTGGTTCAAACCGCTTCGAAATATTATAATCCAATCTACGTTTTCAAATCATTTTCTCGCGCAAAAGAAGTTATGATGTCATTGTGAAACTGTTTTAAACCAGTTTTAAAAAATGTTTCAAAACTTTGAGACGCTAGAAAACACCTGTAATATCTTTGGGTTCCAAATGACAGGTTCATTTTCAAATAATTGTAAAAATTCTAACGTTAATTCATTGGTCCACTCCATTTCTTATTTTAATTAAAAATAACTAGAAATGCAAAAATCAACCTTACGGCACTGCACACCGCTATAAAACAACTTTGTAATTTAATTTTTTTTTTCCTTACCCTGTAAGGAGATATCGTCCGATATCGCACTAAGTGGACACCATGTATAGATGGCGACACTAGAAAAAAATGTGTCACTGTTGAAATGGCATTAGAATAGTGCTGTGAAAGAAACAACATAATGTAATAGTTTGTTTCTATGGTTTGTTATTGTCAATTAATTGTTTTCAGATCCTTCAATTTCCAAGTTGAATATAAAGTATTAAAGAGTTTCCTGTGGTTTCAGTGGTTTTCTTTTAAATATAAGATCAGGTTATGGGCCCAGAGTACAGGGAAATGGTATGAATATGCGGAAAGGCATAAACAAATTTAAACAAAAATACATAAAAGAGCTGATTTAGAAGAATTATTGTAAAATGAAGAATAAACTAAGCATAGAAGAGAACCATTAAATGGAAATAATTATCACACTTGGAAATTTAGGGTTGAATTAATATTAGAAGAGCATGATGTAGAAACTTATGTAGAAAATGAAGGCTGTGTTTATGTTGGAGCTGTGATAAACGATAAAAGCAACGATACTAGCGAAGCAACGAAATACAATGCCTGTGTTTGTACGCAGGTGTGTATGTTAGAGCGGCGAGTAGAGCAGCGCTTTTTTGTGGGCCAGCGATAAGAGCGGCGAGAAGAAATTTTGCATATTTCTTTGCTTTTATCGACTATGAATGGACGAGTGTTCATCAAGGTTTATGATGTTATTATTTTGCTTCGGTGAACGAGGGAGAAGAGGGAGTGTCTCTACAATAGTATATATAATCCAATGATCATGTAATGATAGCCATTAATACACAAGCATGTTGTAAGATACGAAATGAGCCGCATGCGAGTTTTGTATACAGGGTGGCCAATTGGAAACGAAACAGAGGTGATTTTAGGCTCCCCAAGAGATTTAGGAAAAAACCCTCGTACCCGTCTATTTTTTATTTAAGGGGGAACCATTTTTTTGGCATTTTCACCCCAGGGCCTCCAAAATTTCAAATGTTATGAGGGGTCGAGTGATACCTTATTTTGAAGCTATTTTTATTTAGATTATAACCCCCGAGTCTTACATCGCTACTATCTACCTAGCCATTACAGGGGCTAATTGAAGCTACAAAAACATGTTGGGATGTTTTGTATTTGAAAAAATGCTTTGAAAACAAAATCAATCAAGCAAATGCTGAAAATGACCACAGAAGAAAAAATCTAACGGGCTTAAATCTGGAGAACGTGGGTACCACACAATAGCTCCTCTCCACTGGAATTTACGAGATCGGATAATCAATGAGTGTCGTCAAATCAGTCCACAAATGCTTCGAAATGTGCGGGAGCGTTTTGAACAGAATATTTATTTATGTATGGAAGTGGATGGTGGTCAATTTCAGCATTTATTTAACTGACAGTTAACCAAATTTCATGTGTTTTTAGATTATCGAGGGACGAGGCATCACAATTTTTTTGATATCATTGTACTAAATAATGGAGTATAATTAAATGGCATTTTAGTGCTACTAACCCCTTTTTTCGTTTTATTTCCTCCTCTCTCACCATTGAAAAACCCATAATCCGCATTTTTTTTTTTTCAATAAATAGAGCAGCAGTTCAATTTCAATGTATATTTCTCTGACGATGGCTCTTTTTTCTTAAACGGTATGGTGAATCGTCACAACTGCCGCTATTCAGCTAATTCAAATCCCAGAAAACATATTTCGTAAGGTGTATACGCAACATCCCAAGAAATTGAGTGTTTGGACTAGCATTTTTCGTAACCGTGGCCCCTTATTTACCTATAAATTTAACAGGAGAAATGTACCTAGAGTGATTAGAAGATGCGATTCATTCAGAATTGGTGGAGATACTAGAGAATGATAACAGATACATGGAAAACCGTTTAATATTCCAACAAGATGGTGCGCCATCCCACTATGCTGCAGTGGTTCGTCAATTTTTGGACCAAACGTTTCCAGGACAATGGATTCGAAGGAGAGGAGCTATTGAGTGGCCCCCACGTTCTCCAGATTTAAGCCCGTTAGATTTTTTCCTCTGTGGTCATTTTCAGCATTTACTTGATTAATTTTGTTTTTGGAGCATTTTTTTAAATACAAAATATCCCAACATGTTTTTGTAGCTTTAATTAGCATGCGTGTTTTTTCAGCAAATTTCACTCGTCCTACGGACTCGTGAAATTATAGAAAACACGCAATCGTGAAAAATTATCGGTAATTTTGAAGCTCTCGTGGTATTATCCCCGAAAATTCTTCATCAGAATCACTCATTTTTTAAAGGCAACACTTCGCTCAACTACTTTGACTAGTATCGCAGCTCCAACATAAACGCATCGAAGAAGGATACTTTTGAATAGCTCTTATCACCGCTATTATCGACGCTCTCAGTCTCATAGCTTTTATCACAGCTCCAACATAAACACGTTGGCTTACGAAATAAAAGACAATGTGTGAAAGAAAATAGGAATGCTACTCCAACAGTTTTCATGTGACAACGTAGCTGCTTTAAATGTGGAAAAATAGGCATTATAAAAAGGAATGTCCTGGAAATGTAGGTCAAGGAATAAATCGTCAAGCAAATCGTGGATATGGTGATAGAGGCAGATTCGAAGGATGTTTTCGAGGAAATCAAAGTGACTGGTTTAGAGGCAATCACGAGAGGTAATAATAGTAGTTTTTGAGGAGAGTACAGCGGAAATCAAGGTATAGCAAGTTTTAATAATTTTTATCGAAGTAATTATGCTGATAATGACCAAAATGTTAATTCATATCTAACAGACCATAGATTGGTGTATGCGATCTTGGTTTTAGATGTTAAATGAAACTAAAGTGTCTCAATAAACCTACCCACAGTGGCGACAAAAAAGAGGCCCGCAGTCATTTTCAATAGGAATCTAGAAGCAAGACACCCCTCGCCCTCATATTCTTGCTCATCGAATCGTCGGCAATTTTTTGAAAAAGGAATTTGTTTTTTTGTGACTTGCACTTGATAACACCTACCAAGTTTAATAGATAATAGAAATGAGATTTTAGAGATCGGTAATAGGGATAATCTATATGAGATGTCATTTGAACTCGTTTCACCCGTATGCCTGAATGTTGAAAGTTATGATAGTGAATATATGAAATGGCATAAGAGATACACCCATTTAGGTTTCAGCGGTTTAAAGGAAGTTATTAGAACTGATATGGTTAAAGGGATAGATAGGAATTTAAAGATTCATGATGTAAGCTTTTGTGAGTCTTGTATTAAAGGAAAAATCACGAGAATTCCTTTTGACACTTGTACAAAGAGTATTGACTTCTTCGGACATTCGGATTTATGTGGACCTTATTACTCTTGT